TTTTTTGCCCTTTCCACGTTCAAAGGACACTTTTCCGGAAACGGTGAAAAGACGGCCCTGCAGTTTCTGGGGCCCATTGAGGCCCAGCCTGGTCCTCGGACGCTGCGGGTGTGGCGAAGGCGAGGCCCCTGGAGCCCACGCGCCGCCTGCCGCGCGGCGCGTCTGCCCGCTCGCCCCTCTCTCGCGGTCTGCGCCCAGGCGCTCCCTGTGCGCCCTTCCGGGGCCCGGCCCGCCACGGCCGGTCCGCAGACCGCTTTTCGCCTCGAGGCCCCCCCCTCGGAGGGACGCGTTCTTGTGGCCCTGCCCTAATTTGTGGGCCCGGAAACGGCAGGGCCGTTTTTTCGCCGTTTCCAAAAAAATGTCCCTTGAAGATGGAAACGGCGCAATAACGGCGGCCGGAAAAGGCTAAAAACACGTCTCCAGGATTGGAACCGGAGCTGGAACCGGTCCAAAAACGCTGACGGAACCGGTAAAATAACGTCGTCGGAAGCGGCAAGAAAAACGGCAAAACGGAACCGGTTAAAAAACGGACCTGTCGTTTCCAGCGCCCACTAATCTGGGCGTTCCTGTTCATTTTGAACAGGACTCGCTGTCCGCGCCGCCGCGGCCTGTGTCCATTCGAGACAGAAGACAGCCTGCCCAACAGCGGCTGCTGTCGGTTTGGGACAACATTTGTTGTTGGGCATTGTACCCATTCTTTCAGTACCCATTTCGGGCGTTGAAAACTAAGGCCCTGCCCCCCCCTCTCTCGGGCTCGTCCCGGTGGTGCCCCCCTGTCGGGCGCTCTCGTCCTGGTGTGCCCCCCTTCCGCCCACAATGTGGTCCGGGAGGGGAACAAAAACACACACAGACACAATGAATCGTCGATTCCCCAGGAAAATATGGGAAAGTATGGGAAGTGGGGGGAGGACACAAACCCAGGAGATGTGGGAAAATATGGGGAGTCTTTTTATTTGTGTGTATTGATCTGTGTGTCCCAGGGCCCCTTCAACAATGTGGTCTGGGCAAGCAGTTCGCGGAACCGCGTTTGCTTCCAACCCTAAGGCTGGCTGAGCAAAGTCTCATTTCCTGGCCACTTTTATGCTCTTGGTCAGGGTGCCACATGTGAACCCTACCCCTAACCCCCACGATTTCTGAGGGGAGGGTGGGGTTCACTTCGCTCGGGAGCTCCCGAACGAAGTGAACCCCACCCTCCCCCTCGGAAATCGTAGGGGGTAGGGGTAGGGTTCACACGTGGCCCCCTATTGGTTGGTTGTATTCTCATAGTGCTGTCCGTAGGTAGGTTGAAGATCCGAGGCGGGAATTTATACATGACCACCGCCTGGTGGGTCAGTTTTCGGAGCCTCGGCAGGCGACGGATATGGACATGTTCGGGCCCCCAGGGGCCGAAATGTATCCATGTCCACCGCCCGCTGGGGCACCAGGACGTCGGTTCCCAGGCGGTGGATAGGGGTAAATCCCCGCCGCGCAGAAGAAAACAGTTTGGGTCATCATGCCCGCATCTGTTTCAAGCACCTTGTTGCTTCAATTGTCTGCCTGTCTGGGCGTCCTGTATGCCTCCTTCCCCCTGCGTGCGCGGGCCGGAGGCCCCTCTGCGCTCTTTAATTCACTCGGGCCCGTCCCTCTACAAGGGGGAACATTCAAACATAGTCCAAGAATAGTCTGGGGACTATTTTTGGAGTATGTTGACCATTGTGGAATATGTTTTGAGTTTTTCGTCGAACATCCCCCTGTAGGGGGACATGCCCGAGTTCACTCTTTAATTGCCTGTGTGAGTGCTTCTCCCCCGATCGGCGCGCACTGACAGGTCCGGCCGCGGCCTCTCCGTGCCGTGGGCCAGTTTTCACTCGGGCCTGTCCTTCTGCAAGAGGAATCTTCAAAAATAGTAAAAGGTTATCCCGGCAAAGCAACCTAACAGCGATGTGTAGAAGCGTATCTGGAAGCATTCCCTTTAAGGTTTAGGTGAGAATCCAGTTGTAGAATTCTGCTGTTCTCGCAGTCGCAGCCTCAGCCTGCCTCGGCTTGCCTCGGCCTCAGCCTCAGCCTGCCTCGGCCTCAGCCTCAGCCTCAGCCTCCCTCAGCCTCAGCCTCAGCCTGCATCAGCCTCAGCCTGCATCAGCCTCAGCCTCAGCCTGCCTCAGCCGCAGCTTGCCTCAGCCTCAGCCTCAGCCTCAGCCTCAGCCTCAGCCTCAGCCTGCCTCAGCTTCAGCCTCAGCCTCAGCCTGCCTCAGCCTCAGCCTCAGCCTGCCTCAGCCTCAGCCTCAGCCTCAGCCTCAGCCTCAGCCTCAGCCTCAGCCTGCATCAGCCTCAGCCTCAGCCTGCCTCAGCATCAGCCTGCCTCAGCCTCAGCCTCAGCCTGCCTCAGCCTCAGCCTCAGCCTGCTTCAGCCTCAGCCTCATCTGCCTCAGCCTCGGCCTCCTCAGCCTGCCTCAGCCTCAGCCTGCTCAGCCTCAGCCTCAGCCTCAGCCTGCCTCAGCATCAGCCTGCCTCAGCCTCAGCCTCAGCCTGCCTCAGCCTCAGCCTCAGCCTCAGCCTCAGCCCTCAGCCTCAGCCTTCAGCCTCAGCCTCAGTCAGCCTGCCTCAGCCTCAGCCTGCCTCAGCCTGCCTCAGCCTCAGCCTCAGCCTCAGCCTCAGCCTCAGCCTGCTTCAGCCTCAGCCTCAGCCTCAGCCTCAGCCTCAGCCTCAGCCTCAGCCTCAGCCTCAGCCTCAGCCTCAGCCTGCCTCAGCCTCAGCCTCAGCCTCAGCCTCAGCCTCAGCCTGCCTCAGCCTCAGCCTCAGCCTCAGCCTCAGCCTCAGCCTTCAGCCTCGGCCTCAGCCTCAGCCTGCCTCAGCCTCAGCCTGCCTCAGCCTCAGCCTCAGCCTGCCTCAGCCTCAGCCTCAGCCTCAGCCTGCCTCAGCCTCAGCCTCAGCCTCAGCCTGCCTCGGCTTGCCTGGCCTCAGCCTCAGCCTCTCAGCCTCCTCAGCCTCAGCCTCAGCCTGCCTCAGCCTCAGCCTCAGCCTGCTCTCAGCCTCAGCCTCAGCCTCAGCCTCAGCCGCAGCCTCAGCCTCAGCCTCAGCCTCAGCCTCAGCCTCAGCCTCAGCCTCAGCTTCAGCCTCAGCCTCAGCCTGCCTCGGCTTCAGCCTCAGCCTGCCTCAGCCTCAGCCTGCCTCAGCCTCAGCCTCAGCCTGCCTCAGCCTCAGCGTCAGCCTCTCAGCCTCAGCCTGCATCAGCCTCAGCCTCAGCCTCAGCCTGCCTCAGGCTCAGTCTCAGCCTGCCTCAGCCTCAGCCTGCCTCACCCTCAGCCTCACAGTTGGCTCCGGGCAATCAAAATGTATCCTGGGAATGGTGTTCTCTGGAACACGAAGAACACGAAGTGGCCGACAGTTGGCTCCGGGCATTCAAAATGTGGCCCGGGAATGGTGCTCTGGGAACACGAAGAACACGAAGTGGCCTACAGTTGGCTCCGGGCATTCAAAATGTGGCCCGGGAATGGTGTTCTGGGAACACGAAGAACACGAAGTGGCCTACAGTTGGCTCCGGGCATTCAAAATCATGCCCAGGAATGGAGTTCTGGGAACACGAAGACCACGAAGTGCGTTACTGATTGCTTAAAACGAGTTCCCCGGCATCCCCCCGGATCCTGCCCGGACGCCCCTGGGGAGTCATGATGCTCTCTTTTGACCCTACTAGAAACCTATCAGTCTTCGCTGTTAGGTAAAAATTGTCTGGAACGATGTTTGCAGCATTTTCTGGCTACGTTGGGGTATTGTTCGACTGTTGTTTATTTTGCGTTCGAAGTCCCCCTGTAGGAGGACAGGCCCGACTTACGACTAGTTGTCAGAGGGGTACGCTTCCACTTCCCCTCCTCCCCCGACGGCCCACACTCCTGGAGCGCGGGACGGACAAAAAGTTATTCTGACGAAGGACCTAACCATATGTTGCTGCGAGTACCGCGAGGGAGAGGAGACGAAGGAGGGGGAAGGCAGCAAAATTGATTGCGGCGTTCATGAGCGGGAGAAAATCTGACGCGGGCGAGCGGGGAGTCTTCTTGGTTTCGCTCGAGCTGGGGTATTCGGTGGAGCTCCCTCTGGGGCCACGAACCGTATGAGGGGTGCGCCGAAATGGGGCCGCGGTGCCATGCGGACGCCTCCACTGGGGCCTTCGGTGGAGCTCCCTATGGGTGTCATGAAACGTTTGAGGGGTGTGCCGGAATGGGGCGGCGGTGCCAAGCGGACGGTTCCGCTGGGGCCTTCGGCGGAGCTCCTAACGCTCCCGCTGGGGCCTTCGGTGGAGCTCCCTACGGGGCCACGAAGTGTGTGAGGGGTGTGCCAAAATGGGGCGGCGGTGCCATGCGGACGCTCCCGCAAGGGCCTTCGGTGGAGCTCCCTATGGGGCCACGAACCGTGAGAGGGGTGTGCCATAATGGGGCGTCGGTGCCGTGCGGACGCTCCCGCTGGGGCCTCTGGTGGAGCTCCCTGCGGGGCCACGAACCGTGTGAGGGGTGTCCCAAGATGGGGCGGCGGTGCCAAGCGGACGCTTCCGATGGGGCCTTCGGTGGAGCTCTCCATGCGGACGCTCCCGCTGAGGCCTCCGGTGGAGCTCCCTATGGGGCCACAAACCGTGTGAGGGGTGTGCCAAAATGGGGCGGCGGTGCCATGCAGACGCTCCCGCTGAGGCCTTCGGTGGAGCTCCCTCCCTATAGGGCCACGCCCCGTGTGAGGGGTGTGCCAAAATGAGGCGTCGGTGCCATGCGGACGCTCCCGCTGGGGCCTTCGGTGGAGATCCTTATGACGATGATGGCGATGACGAGGCGGATGGGAGCAGGGAGGAGGGGGAAGAGGGAGGGGCAGCGGGAAGGAAGGAACGCGGGGCGTTGTCTCTTCAAGAAGAGGACCCAACACAACAGGATGGGTGAGAAAAACAATCTATCTACCCTAGAAATGACATTTCCGCAGAATCTGCGAGACACAACTCAGAGATTTTCATTTCTACAGCATTTCTCATGTCAGAAACCCTGCCCATGGGGCCCCTGGGCCAAAGACCACCAGGGGCCGCTGAAATATACGAAGGCCCCCCTCCCCCCATGGGGCCTCCCCGGGGCCTCCCCAGAGCCTCCCCGGATCTTCCCCGGCCCCCTGGAGCTTCCGGGCAGGTTTCAAATATGTCACAGTCGGGCCAAGATGACGTTCGTACAGCCCCAGAGAGCGTCCCAAGAACACCCCAAGACGGCTCCAAGAGAACCCCCAGGAACACCCCAAGAACGCCCCAAGAACACCCCAAGAGGCCCCTGGGGCGTCCCAAGAACACCCCAAGACGGCTCCAAGAGAACCCCCAGGAGGACCCGAGGAGGCAATCATCTCTAGCAAACTCGCTTCTTAGATCTTGATGGCCCCAAGAGGAGCCAAAGGGGGGGACTTCGAACCGGCATGTCGAGGCCTCCGCCCCAACAGGAGCCCGAAGACCGCCAGCAGGGCTCCAAGGACTCACCAAGAGGGCGCAAGAGGCTCCAAAGAGGCAACACACAGGCCCCGAACGGCGCCCCCAGAAGCTTCAAAACAGCCTCCTCCAGCAGGAGGAGGAGGAGGAGGAGGAGGAGGAGGAGGAGGAGGAGGAGGAGGAGGAGCTTCAAAACAGCCTCCAAAAGGCTGCCCAGAGGCTTCCCCAGAGACCCGGGCATGCACTCAAGAGGTCTGGCCCCCGTAGAGACTAGCCCTAGCGGGTTACAAGACATTTCTTGCACGCCCCACATCGACGGCACAGGTATGCAGGCACTCTCATCCTCTTTCTCCTCCTTCCACTCCCACTCCTCCTCATCCTCCTCCTTTTCACTCATCCGTATGCCTCCCACCCCTCAACACCGTTTTCTCTCTCACTTCGCATTCTTCTTTTTGATGTGCCCTCCTCTTCCTTCATGTTCATCTTGCCTCCACCTTCTCCCTCATCCAGCCCTATTCTATACTCTTCGTGTAGCTTCCTCTGTTCCCTCCTCTGTACTGCTTCCTCCTTCTGTTGCCTCCTGCCCTCTAGCTCGTAAATTCACCCTCCTGTTCCCTCCATCCTCCTCCCATCCTCGATGATCCCACCTTCATCCCTCCTTCCTCCGCCCTGCCCCGTCCCGTCCCTCTCCTTTTCACTTTGCATCCCCCTGTCCTCCCTCTATCCTCCTCCTCCTCCTCCTCCTCTTCCTCCTCTTCCTCCTCCTTCTCCTCCTCCTCCTCCATCCTCAAGCAACTTGGGCTCGAGCATTTTGCTGGCGCCCAGGGCCTCTGCACTTCCGCGCAGTGCTTGAGGGACTAGGTCCTAGGCGGCTTGCCACACCGCCAGAGCCTCGACAAAGACAGAGGCAGAGCAGCCACTGCAGCCATGGCTCCAGGTGCTTATGGCAAGCCCATGTGGAGCAGGTGCACGTGTGGCAAATGTGAGTGGAATTCTGTTTTGGCGATGAACAAACTTGTATGCCAGGGGTGCAGGAAGAAGGTTGTGTTGTTCCGCCCCAATCACAGTCCCAGGGTCACGTTCCAGCAGGACACGGCCGGCTGGGATGACGAGCTTCAGGATTGCATCGAGGATGTCGACCAGCCGCAGGGAATCCTGAAGCCCCGCAGCCGCAGCAGCTCGCCAGGAGGACACAGTGGCACACCTCCTCGGAAGACGGGCAAGGGCGGCCGCGGCGGAGGCGAGGTGACCGAGCTTATCCAGAAGGTTATCTTAGCCACAGATGACGAGGGCCTGCAGTCCACGCTGAAGGCCCAGCTGAAGAGGCTCGAGTACCAGGGCGCGCAGGAGGTCCAGCAAAGCCCCGTGGAGGCGCTGCGCTTGGCTGATGGCGCCTACCGCAACGCCACACACCTTCGTGAGCAAGCTGTGGCGTCGGTTATGCGGTTACGTTCGGGTCTCTTGGCGGCAGAGAAGAAAGAGCAGGCAGCGGCTATGAAGTTGGCCGAAGCACAGGAGGCCAAGGCGACCGCGGCGAATAAGCTCGCGATCGCTGAGGGGGTTGGCTCGTTCTCCACCTCGCCAGAGCAGAGCGAGACAGATGGCCCCATGTTCAGGATCGAGTGGGGCCAGAAGCTCTTCGACAGTCTGCCAGAGCTGGAGTGCACAGAGACGGAAAGGCAGACACTCGAGAAGTTACAGAAGGATCTCCTCGCCACGCGCACGAGCTTGGCCACCAAATCGGAGGAGGTCAAAGCTTGGATGGAGCAGGCGAAGAAGCACCAGGCTGTGATCTTAGAGAGGATGGCGAAGAAGCGGAAGGCGGACTCAGGCGAGGCGACGGCAGCCACGGGCGAGGGTGAAAGCCCAGCCGCCCAGGCAGCCGACGCTGGTGCGCCAGCGCCCGCCGCCGCGAAGGCGACCATCAACACGGAGACGGACGAGCAGAAGCAGAAGCGCCTCCAGCAGGAGGCGAAGAAGATCTCGGACGCGAAGTTCCAGGCGCACCAGACCGCGGCCAAGGCGAAGGGCAAGGGCAGCGAGCTGACGGCCGAGGCTGGTGGAGCACCTGGAGGAGCGGCCGCTTGACAGGAGGCTGGGGGCGCACCTCAGGCCCCGCAGTCAACATCTGAGGTCGACGGAGAGACACACATGTTTGTGGCGAACGTGGCCGAGCTCTCCGACAAAGTATGGAACTACATTTCCAAGAATTCAGCGAAGTACCAGTTCTGGGGTATCATCGAGACCTATGTGCACGAACGTGAAGAACTTCAGAAGTGCGACCAAAAGGCCAGGCAGATGCACTACCGATTGCACCACAATCCAGCGCGCAGTTCTGGCAAGGTCGTTTCGGAGCGCAAGCAGCACAGATCGAATGAAGGTGGAGAAATGTTCCTGGGCAGGAAACATTTACAGGCTCATCTTCTTCCTGAAGCACGCGCTGCTCGTGCTCAACTGTCGGAGGCAGGCCGCTCGGCCTTCGACGGTTTTTTTACTGATTGTCATCAATTTCAACGGGTACAGCATGATCATAGTGATCATATACGGACACCCCTCCCTCGGCATGCGCGGCCTGAACAAGACCCGATTCAGTCGTCTGGGCGGGTTACTACAGGCTGCGAGGCTGCCGTGGGCGATCGTCGGCGACTTGCATACGACGCCAGAGGCTGTGAAGGCTTCACTGTTCGTGCAGAGGCTCAACGGCGCCGTCAGAACGGCACCTGGCGGCGGCACGTGCGCGCAGAAAAAAGGACCAGACTCGTTGATCGATTTCATGGTGTGCTCTGAGTCGGCAGTCCCTTTTGTGAAGGACATGCGACAGGTGAGGGATGTTGCTTGGAGGCCCCATGCAGGCTTGCACATTGCGTTCAGGAGCTCTGGCCTACAGTTGATCAATAGGATCCTTGAGCTCCCCTCCAAGCTGCCTCAGCTCCCTCGCCCCCGCACGACGCCCACTCCAGGGTCCAAAAGCAGCATTGTTAGGGCCCAGAAGCTTGTGGCCCAAGAGGGGGGCTGCAAGCAAGCGGAACGATTTTCTGAATTCAATGTTTGGGGACTGTTTCCAGTCGTCGCCTCACCTCGAGGCCCCCCAGGGTACGCACACCCAAGAAGAGCCTGAAATACCCAGTGAGCTTTATCTTGATGAGGACTGGCCAGATGAGCCTGACCCGTGGGAAGATGAGCTCAACTTCTTATATTGTGCGGGCGCGGGTGCGCCCCCCCCCCCCCCCCTCCCTCCTCGCTGGCTGTCGGCGACCCCGCTCCCGCGCCCAGGTCCAACGAGATGCCAGCCGATGCCAGCGCCCAGGCGGCTCCTGAAGGCCCAGGCAGTTGTCTTGGAGAGCAGGTGTTGTCTGATAGCCTTCCCCCCAATTCGAGCCAGCCCCCCGTAACTACAGAAGCTGAGAACATTTCAAGAAGCACTCCTGAGCCTGAGCCGTTAATCGCTGGCCCTGGAGCCCCCGCCCCTGAACCGTCGTTTAACATTCCCCAGGATCTCTGGTGCAAGGTTCGGTATGAGGTCGGGTTCGCTTCGGGGTCCAGTTGTTTAGAATATGTCACTCCTCCGTTGCTCCAGTCCGTAGCGCTTTGGCTCAAAGACAAACGCTCAGCTTAATCTCAGGTATTTATGCAGCGTGGGCCACCACGGTCGAACGCACCATCCATACCCACCACCAGCAGCCGATGACGGGAGCAGCCCGCGCGTACGGCCCGCAAATCCACGCGCGGCAGGTGCAGGAGGTCGCGCACAAGAGGCAGCTCCATCTACGTGACAGTCGTGCACAGTGGTGGACGCGAGTGGCGACGATTGTGGCAGGAGTGCGCCGACATACGACACGAGAGAATGGACAGCAGCAGTTGAACGAGTACAGGGTGATACGCCAGAAGTTGGTGGATGATTATCCGAGCGGGGCCCACGCGATATTACGTGAGCACCGAGACCCCTCATGGCAGCAGTGGCGTGACTTTCTCAGAGGCGGTGGCGGTGCTCAACTTCCAGGCCCAGTTTTGGAGTCTTGGGAGAGATGTGCTCATCGTGTGGCGGCTCGTGCACAACGGATTGCGGTGCACTTGTCATTGAAGGATTTCGGAGAATGGATCCAGGAGCCTACGGCAGCAGGCATCCTACATAAATCAATGAAAAAGCAGCCCCTCCCCGCAGTTGAGCTGGACATTCAAGGCTCAGCCATCTACCACCCGATCGATATCATGGACGAGAAAGTAAAGAAGTTCAAGAAGTTATGGGCCCCCAAGCCAGCCAGCTTGACTGACACTCGGGACCTCTTCAATCGCATACGCGACGTGGCGGTCGACGCCCCACTGGAACCCATCAGCGAGGCCAGCATTGTTCGTGCATGCAAGAAGATGAAACCTAGGGCTGGCATGGGAGTTGACGCGTTCACACCGCTGGATTTCGAGAGATTGCCGAAAGCTGGACTCACAGAGATGACTCTTTTGCTGGAGGCAGTGGAAGCGACCCTGACATGGCCAATCCAAACATTACTCATTATAGATGGGCTTACGCCAAAGAAATCGAATGGAGATCGTGCAATTGGATTGGCGTCAATGTTAGGACGAGCATGGTCAATGATTCGTGAGAGCGACGTGCAAACATGGACATTTGAGCAGGCCCCTTTCTGGGACGCTGCGATAAAAGGCAACTCATGCCTCCAAGAGGCGTTTCTTAGATCCATCGATGAGGAAGTTGCTCATCAGTTTCAGATGCACTATGGACACGCTATGTTAGACATCGAAGCATTTTACGATTCGATACCGTGGCTGCCCCTAGTCGAGGCGGCCCTGCGCCTTGACTTTCCACCAGTGGTGCTGTACCTCGAGCTGGTACAATGCATCGCCCCACGGGTGCTCGAGCAGATGGGGGCGGCCACGGACCCGTTCGAGCCCAGCCAGAGCGTGTCCCAGGGCCTACGCTCTGGCACCAGGTTCGCGAAGGCCCTCACCCACTTTGTGATGGCTCATGCGACCACCATGCGCCCACGGATGGGACACAGGCTGTGACGACCTATCCCAGACCATCCGCGGCTCGCGGAAGGCCATCCGATGCCAGATGGTGGAATGTATCGTGCTAACGTGTGAGCAGCTGGTCCAGCGACGGCTCAAGGTGGCCGACAAGTCCAGCATCATGTGCACCAACGTGAAGGACACGAAGGCCATCGTTCGAGCTGTGCGCGGGAGAGGCTACCACATCAAGGGAGTCACCCAGGCCACATACCTGGGGGTCGACTTTGGGCGTGGACGGCTGGCCCGCTCCACCAGGAGGTCACGCGAGGATAAGCATAAGAAGATGTCGAAGAAAATTAGAAGTTACACGCGGGCCAGCAGACAATATCATGTCACAGCCAAGCTCCAACGACAAGGAGGCTTGCCAGCAGGTTTGTACGGGCATCAGGTTCATGGAGCATATGGAGAGCAGTTGAAACTTGTACGACGAAGACTTGCACAATCGTGTAGCAATGGCAATCGTGGCCATTGCTTGACTACAGTACTGGACCTCAGGATGCCCAACGCAGATCCTGCTATAGCCCTGGTGGTGCAAGGGGCAGACCTTTGGCTAAAGACGTGGCGAGATCACCCACATATACGTGATGGCGTCAGGAAGGTTTGGCCGAGGATTGTTCAGCAGTTGCAGGCAGCAAAACACTCTGATCAAGTTCGTCTTGTGCGAGGCCCCGTGTCTGCAATGGTGCTCAACTGATTACGCATAGGGTGGCAACCTGTGTCGCCGTCTCAGTGGAGTTACAGCACGGGCGAGGACACCTACGAGGAGTGGACCTTCCCCGACAGCGGCTACACGGGCAACCCCCACATCGACCAGCACCAGCACCTGCTGCTGGACATTGCCGCAGCGGCGAGGAGCCAGGTTTGGAAGCAGGCCAGCACACAGTGCACGGGAGGAGGGCTGGAAAGCGGAGTAGACAACGATTCATTTCGTGCCCTGCTGCGCCAGCTAGCCGCCTCCCACAATGGTAAGCGTCTGTCTGAGACAATGCTTATGATAGCAGCCGCAGGCTGCTGGCCCAAGACTAGGAAGAAAGAGATTATATGTAGTTTCACAGGTGATGATTTGTGCGATCGGTGCCGCCTGAAGCCCGAAACGCTGTTTCACAGGTACTGGGACTGCTGTAAAAACGCAGGGTCCAAGGCCTTTGAAAATTCGGACGACCTCGTTTTTCAGGCCACCGCCCAGCTTGAGACGGCCGAAAATTTTTGGATCAGGGGCCTCATCCCCGCCTCCTGGACAAAGGTCCCTGAGCCCGAAGGTGGTGATTCCTGGACGGCGACGGGCGTGAATGAGGTTGAATGTGGGTGCCTCGGCACTGGCTCACGCGACTGTCCTGTTATGGTTGCGGGAGGCGCCTCGGGCGGGCCCGACTCGAGGTGGCCGAGGCTCCGCCGAGTAGGCGTTGCGATCGCCAAGTTTTCTTCCCTCTCCCTCTTGCCGTCGAAGCCTCGATCATTGGACCCCTAAGTGGACACAGGCAGGTTGCTGCCCGAGGTGGGTTGCGTGCGTTCCTCCTCGCCTTGCGCACTACAAGGGGGCATTTGTTGTGCATTACTGATTTCCAACCACTGGCGGAGAGTTGGTATTGTCAGGAATACCTCAACCCCCGAGGGCCCGATGCGGATTTGTGGGCCAAGATTGCTGAGCGCATGTGTTGTAGGCAGTTTAGTGATGTCACAGTTGTTTTCACCCACAGCCACCAGGAAAGTAAGGATGTTGTCGAGGGCCGTGCCTTAAGTAGCCTAGTGCTGGCGAACACGGTTGCTGATGAGCTAGCAGGCACGGCAGCGAATATATGCAGGGTACCTCTGAATGTTAGGCACGATATTTTAGTTATTGAGAAGAAGGCCTTCCAAATTAGGATGAGGTTCCTAAGGGCTACCCTTGATTGTTTTGAGGCTGAGAAGAAGGCTGCTCTGGAGGCGAGGGAGAGGAAAAGTGAGGGGGTCCCGCCTCCCCCTCCCCCCCCGCCCCGCCCCGCTGCTGCTGCTCTCGCCCCGCTCCTGTCGGCTCACAGGCTGACGGAGTGCAAACGTAAGTGTATTAGATGTTTCGGGTCAGCTACCCAGGCCACTGCGCCTGTATGGTGGAGGACCGACTGCCCCGCCCTCTACAATGTTGACGGCACCCTGATGGCCCCGTCAGGCCGAGGAGCCCGTATCCATGTAGCGGGGGGCTGGCTGCACCCCTCTCACCTCCTGAATTATCATATTGTTTTGAAGGTTTGGTTTTGTGGGCACTGCGGGAGCATAGCTGATAAGCAGCTGCGCTCCCTCGGCAAACCCTGTGGCCCTCCCACACGCACGGGGCGTGAATATTTAGATCGCATACAGAGTGGGCTAACCCCCAAAGTCCTAAGCAAGGCCGACCAAGCACGGCGGCAGCGAAGGTCTTCTCAGTAGTGTGGTCTGTTCGGGATTGGCTTCGCCAGTGGTTCCTACTCCTATTCCTATACTCCTCCTCCTCCATCTCTCTTTTACGTCTGCCTCCTCCCTCCACCGTCCCGCTTCCCCACCTCCTCCTCCTCCTCCTCCTCTGTATTTACCTTCCGCCTGTTCCCGGCTTCCTCCATGATACTTGTCCTGCCGCCTTCCTCTTATACCTTGCCTGAACATGTTTCCTATTTGAATCGTGTGCGGGTAGCGCTAACCCTGGAAGAGGATGATGGGGCCCCTCATACCGCCCATATGGGAGTGAGAGGACCTGCCCGATGAATTCACGACATCATGTTTCTCTTTGGGTTTCTCTTGTCTGAGGGTTTGGACTCGCCACATCCTGGCTCCGAGTTAGATCCTCACATGAGGAGACAAAAAGAAGGTGGTTGAACCCTCGGGGGGGGGGACAAAAAACATCTGCCACTCATATGCCAGAAGCCCGACCCCAGGGGCCCCAGGCCGCAGCACACACAGGGCACCCGGGGTCCCCGTGGCGCACCCCCTCCCGCGGCTTCCCCAGAGCCTTCCCCGAGTTCCCCCTCGGGAGGCTCCCGGAGTTGTGCAGAAGTTCCAAAAGAGGGCCCCACGATGGTCCCAAGAGGCCCCCAACGCTGCCCCAGGAAGTCTCCAGCAGCACAGTGAGGCCCCAAGAGGTCGCCAGAGTGCCCGCACAGGGCTTCCAAGAGGGCCACATCAGTCACAGCCAAGAAGAATCCCAACTTGCTTTCTCTTCTTCTCTGGAGTTCCCATGTGTTGCCCACGCGTGGCTCCAAGATGGCCTCGGAGGCTGAAAAGGTCCCGAAGAAAGCTGCGAGAGTGCCCAGGGATAGCCCAGGACTGTCGCGAATGCAAAGCCCCAGGGCGACCTCAGACACCAAGGCGTGCGTTTCCAAGCCGAGGACCCGACCATCCGGACTCGACGGCCCCTCTGACGCGCTGCACGCTCGGCCCCACGGCCAGTAGAGCCTGAGAGCGCGCGCGACGCGCGCGCGCGCGATGGTTCCAGTTCGACACGCTGCTTGTGGATTCGACGAGATTTTTTTTTGGATGCATCAACAATGTAGTCGATCTTCTGCTCGAAACGTGTGCTTGGCGTTCCGCGCCGCTGGTTTCCCGGCCCGCGCGTCGGCACGGCTCCGGGCGCTGCAACCTGCTTGCGGCGAGCGCTCTCCCCCGATTCCGAGCCCCAGGATCCTCGCAGATCGATCCTGCTCGAAACATCACGCGGGAAGATGGCGTCTGTTACCGCCCACGAAACCACCCCAACCCAACCCGAGGGCCCCGATTTGCCCTCCATTTCCAGTGGGAGGGGGTTCGGGGAACGCCCGTATACACCCCCCAACCCGAAATTGGGGCCTTTGGGTTGGGTTGGGGTGGTCCGGTAGGTGGTCAGTCTGGGGCTCTGGTGGTTCTTTCACTGCGGTGTCGCACATCTCTGCCGCGTCAGGGGTCTCTTCGTACGGGGCGTGAAAACGACCACAGCCAGTGCTTTTCTTTTGTTGCCGCCTTCCAGCCCGCAGAAACAAAGCATTGGTTGTGGTCATTTTCGTTGGGCTTGGCACCAGGGAAATGACCACAACCACTGCTTCTTCTTCGGCCAGCTGGAAGGCGGCGCAGACAAGAAGCAGTGGCTGTGGTCATGTTCCAGCCCCGCACTTCGGGAAGCTCAAGAATTCCTTCGGATCCGACCAGTTCCCAGATTCCTGGGAGGGCCTCCCATTGGAGTTCCCATTGGCACCAACACCAGCACAGGGGTTTGCCTCCGCAGGGAGATGATGATCTTAGATTTCGGTGTTGGTGGTAATATTTCGGTCACCTTGTAAGCCAGAATATTACCACCATCACCGAGATCGGGATCGTCTTCCCTCGGTGGAGGAACACCGCCGATCTTGGTGTTGGTGTCAATCTCTAGGACTCCGATCCCAGGGAATCCCAGGAACTCCCGGGGATCCTACCAATTGCCACGGTGTTGCACACCTCTGCCGCGTCAGATCTGCGGGAGGCACGCGCCAGTCACCGGGCGTCCACGGCCCCAGTCGCCCCCGGCAGCCCGCCCCGCGGAGCGGAGCGACGCGAGTGTCCGATCTTGCAGAGCACAGCGCGTCGCCGCCGCCGCGGCCCACCACCACCATAAGTTGGAGGGGAGGAGGAGGAGGAGGACGAGGAGGAGGAGGAGGAGGAGGAGGAGGAGGAGGAGGAGGAGGGAGGAGGAGGAGGGGGAGGAGGGGAGGGGGAGGGGGGGAGGGGGAGGGGGGGGAGGGGGAGGGGAGGGTGAGGGAGGAGGAGGAGGAGGAGGAGGAGGAGGAGGAGGAGGACCCCATCCCCCTCCAATTTATGATTGTTGCTGGTGGTGGAAAACAGGCCCATCCGAGCACGTCCCAGTCGCCAGCGTCCACGTCCACGACCCTTGCT